TGTCTTCACGACTACCTGTTTGTTGAGCCAAAATATATTTGCACAGAATCTCCTATGATAAATTATAGCTATCGCCATTCACCCTCCCACCCTGAATGCAAAGGAATGATATCCGAAAAGATTTAGCAAAGTATTTGTTATTATATCTGGTACGAAGTGTCCCTATACGTTTTATCAGGGATATATATTTATATATACATAATTCATAAACTGTATATGCGCACCAAGTCTCGCTCATAGAATTACTTAATGAGTTTTATTAAGCCTTTTAAAGTTTCTATTGATACTGATAGATAGTTGTTTGCTTACAGTTACGAAGTATCGTTTGGTGAAACTTCTAAAATTTCAATTACAGTTATGACACAGTATAGGGGTATATACGATAAAGATTAAAGACTTAAAGTTGATTTAAATATTGATGACTCACAGCGGCATTATACAAGTCGAAAGAAGCTGGATTTTAAGTTGGATTATTCTTCAAATAATGCCTGGGCATTAATACCAATGCCAATGAAAGGTCTTTATAAGATTTATAATGTTTACTGCAATATATGATATAATTTAGTCTAGTGCATATATCGTCCTAGATATTCCAGTTGTACCGCACGCACCGAGGAGTCTTGGCGTGTGATAACAGTATACTGTAGCTGTACTTCGACATATATCATTCTTGATCGTTGAGCTGTTTCAGCAATGTAAATAAAAGGAATAACGGGTTTTAATCCTGTGCTTACTGTAATCCACAGTCAAAACAGCACTATTGTTTTTATATACACAGTTGGCGATGTTCAGTACTTCAGTTGAGAAATCAAAGGAGCCCGTTATAAAATAAATCCTTTGTTTTGAATATCGGACAGGATACATTTCAACTATAAACAACCATATCATATCGTTCGTTTTATATAAATACCGTTTGATCGATCAGTCGGTGTAGAAGATATCAGATATGTATGTTTATACGGCGATCTGATGCGTGCTCACTAGCCAGGCGCGTGTGGAGTATATTTTTCCTTGCAAGTGAAATATGATCCAGCTTCTCGCTTGAAATGTACCGCAGCACTTATTATTGATGACATTCAATATAGCAGGAAATCTTGTCATGATGAGTACGAATTTAGAACGGTATAAATCATGTTTATTAATACATGTAAAGTGAAGTATACAACACTAATGCATCTGGCGAATGTCAACTACTACATTCCCACCCCTCCCAGATTGACAAAACAACACTAATTAAAAATCTGCTAGATTTTAGCAGATCACGTGACCAGCGTCCACCAGGGTCTCAACCTCGTACCCAGGGCTAGTCGCGAATTGAAGGCTATGTCGCCGCCTTCAATTCGCGACTAGCCCTGGGTACGAGGTTGCCAGGGTCTTTGCTTCCCAAGAGCAAATACCCTGGGAACGAGGTTGAGGCATCTCTTAATCGTCGAGAACTTATATAATTTAGTTATTCAAATAACTGATGTTCTTATTCGATTCTAGGTAAGTACCACGAGATACCTGCGGAGGAGGCTAGAAAAGTATATTCATTAGTTTTGAGCGCGTGTTACGTAACATACAAAAGATTCTCCTCTCAATTCTTTCCCGTCAGTCCAATTAGCCGAAGCGTGTACAAATATGACTTCCCAAATCCCAATGTTTTTCTAGAAGTTCGCCGGGACTATATAGACGTCACTTGTATATGTCAAGCAGGTCGTGAGGTCATTGCCTTTATCATTTCACAAAGGAATTGAAAATCGTTTGTCAAGATAAAATCTGTAGTAGGTAAAAGTCATTTTGGGTCAATTAACTAATTTCCTATCACTTCCTATATTTACGAACTTTCAGTTTATCTGCATGATATGTAAATAATATAGGATTAATTTCACAGAAATGGTATAACTTGATAGTTTCTTCGTTTTTGCCGGGCCGATTTTAGGTTATGCTGAATGGTCATGACAACAGTATTTTCAGTTGATGATGTCATCACATGACTTTTACCACATACTTTTCATTAAAGAGGCGGTCAAGTCCGTTCAACGGATGTGCAATTTGTTTAAAGACACTGTGTTCATAAAATATGATGTATACTTAGCTAATATCTAACATCGTTCTGGTTCGCTATGCTTTTAAACGAATATAGATTAGAGTTTCAATTTAGATGATGTCGAAACAACGCGAAATTTGGGTATTGTTTACACGAGAGGGTCCTCACACAGCACATGCGCAGAACAGAGCTGAAGCCCTGAAATCGGCCCGACAAATTGTAACGTGTAAAAATACCGCTTAAAATAGCCATGATGACATCTTTATACGATGATGTTTGTGATGTTATACTCTGAGTGTATATCCACAACGGGCGAGCTTGAAAAATATGCCCAGCCATGGTGGGAATCGAACCTACGACCTATGGAATACTAGCTCAATGCTCTGCCAACTGAGTTACGCGGTCAGGTCGGTTCGAGTAAGTGATATTTCGGAACAGAATCTAGTTCCTTCGATACCAATGTAATCTAGTAATATGATTTTTTTCTGTGTTGGTGTTGTGTACTCAGGTGAATATGATGTTGTGATGTTATTCTGAGTGTATATCCGCAACGGGCCAGCTTGAAAAGTATGCCCGGCCACGGTGGGAATCGAACTTACGACCTTTGGAATACTGGCTCAATGCTCTGCCAACTGAGCTACGCGGTCAGGTCGGTTCGAGTAAGTGATATTTCGAAACAGAATCTAGTTCCTTCGATACCAATGTAATCTAGTAATATGATTTTTTTCTGTGTTGGTGTTGTGTACTCAGGTGAATATGATGTTTGTGATGTTACTCTGAATGTATATCCATATTCATACAATATTCATACATATACAATATTCATAATTTTGCTGTTTGAAAATATCGTCGTTCTGACGAAAGTTGACGAAAGACCTGCTCCCATGATCACGTTTCCTTTCTGTGAGTTCTTCTTATTTATGCTATATATAGTTCTTTGGCAAGCCTCCAGCGCGGGATTCAGGCATTTAGGATTTTAACCATATTGAAATTCGTTCCGATGAAACGGGCCATCATCCCAGGACCGCAGGATGTGCGAATTTGATGTTTGGACAGCGTACAACACGGTTAATAATTCAGCAATGTCCTGATATACTGTAGCTTGCTGTTGAATATTTGTGAACTGACGAGAAAGAGAATTTATACAGCCATAATAGTTTTTGTTACTGCAGAATTTTATCAATATTTCAGTTCCTCGTCGATCAACTTTCGTTTACGCAGAATGACATTTTCAAATACATCAAAATTATCCCGCCTTCCACCCCGTTCCGCCAAAGCGGGATGACGTAGGCGAACAGTTTTTACAAGTAACGTTAACATTTGTCTAGCTGACTTCGTATGTGTTATTTACCGGCCGGGAGGTCCGTACTGAAAAAAGTTTTCCCGAGGTCTCAAAGTGTCCCTCGACCCTCGGTCTCGGTCTCAGAAGCGTCCCTCGACCTTCGGTCTCGGGCCGCTTCTGAGACCTTTTTCAAGTACGGGCCGACCTTAACGGTAAATAACTTATTTATTTTTTGCACGATGCTTAATTATTTAAATTCCTACAAAGCTCCAGTGCGGCGAACAAGATTTGAGATCAGTTGTGTTTGTTTATTTAATTATTATAAAATACATTAGTCCAAGCATGGCTGACATATTGCTGAAAATGCCACGATGCCTTTATTTTTTATGCAATAGATGCTTTTCTACACAAAAAGACAATAAAAGTGTAAACTATTTATTTTTCTGCCAGGGCCAAACGTCGAACTTTTCATGTGCCGAACCTAATGCAAATGAAGTGAAACAAAGAACTTACCTCATTAACATTAGGTTCGGCGCATGAAAAGTTCGACGTTTGACACTGGCCTAATACGCTTCAAAAATATTCTTTCGACACGCAGCAACAAATTGTACTTAAATTGTCGATAACAATGACTGCATTTATAAAAAAAACCAATTATATGACTGAAATGAATCTAGAAATCATTTTAAAATGCCGTTTAAGGTTCTTTTTTATTTTTTTATGTTTGAGGATAAGTCCTTGGTTCCAGTATTTATATTTTAACGTATATTAGTATTTTTGCACAGGTGAACATAACAAATCCTACAAGTTGATTGGTCAAATTTGACGTATTAAGCTGTTATATTCACCTACAGGTGAATGTAACAAAATCGAAATTTTCAAAATGGCGGCTAGCCGTTTTGTTGAAGATACTGTTAAAGAAATAAGCGAAATTAAAATAAATTCAGTCCCAAAAAACACTACAAAAGATTTGTAAAAACACTAAAACTTCGTCTCGGCGAATATTCCCCGATAATCACCGAGCCTGAGGCGAATAATTGTTAATTATTCGAAATATACCTGAATATATGCTGAGCTTTTGAAACTAAACATTTGGCACTGATTTTTCGATACTTATACGTCAATGAAATACTTGTTGTTTTTTTTTAATTTAGGTCGAAAAAAAGTACATTTCGGACTTGGTACTAAATCCATTGAAGTCAATTCAGCTTATTTTCTTGTCTTTAGTATCGATAGGGAGGAATTTTCAGCTTTTTGGATTGTTTTTTTTTTAGTTTGAAAATTCTCTTCACTCCTCGGTTTGTTTTGGCGAGAAACGTGAGAGGTCCGTAACGTGTGCGAGAGGTCCGTATCGTGCGATACAAACCTCTCGTCAACCAATCAGAAGGCTCCATTTACGTTACGAACTTGGGATTACGATCCGGAAAAAATAAATACAGTAAAAATAAATGCAGCGTTTGTCATATACGTACGTACACGCACGGAAAGTTTAAATCTTCCCTAAATCTGATTGGTTAGCGAAAACATTCGCCGTGAAAGTTGGATCGGTTCCTAGTTTTAAGGTGGAATGGAATCAACACAATGGAATCAACTGAAACGTTTTTCAATGGAATCAACTGAAACGATTCATGTCATTAGCATTCGGCAAAACCCGAAATCAGCTCGAAGATATGTAAAAAGTACGGTAAGTTAGCTCCACTCAAAAGCTATTCCCTCGCTATGTCGAAGATAACCCTTTAATGTAGCAGGTAAAGGGAGTTCTTCAATGCCTTCCAGTCCTTTTTCACCCAGAACACATCTTATCTTAATCCGACACAAGTGAGTTAATTTTCTCGGGTGCCAGATCAAGTCATACAGTTGTTCCCAATCCTCTAATCCTTCTTCAGTACACATTTCACAAATAGTGGATAAAAACTGTATATGTTCACGACAGGTTGCGAACTCTAATAGAAGTCGAACAAGATCGGGACACATACGAACAAATACGGTATCCTGCATTATCGGTGATATTGTGCTCACCTTTGCGAGATGTGTCATATCTCCACCAGAAATCAAAATCTTCCTGCAAAATTGTAATAGGTAGTCATATTCATCAGTAGAATAATTTATAACAAGAACGGTACATAGTGTGGATAACGCCGAATTCCCTCCTTCGTCTACATAGTTGATATCAGGATTATAGCTCAAGAGTTGCTCCAACGCTTCACAACATTTGAATTTTGCAGCCAACAAAAGAGGTGATGTAAACGTCGCTTGGTTAACATCAGCACCATGTGAAACAAGTTCTTTAACAATCTCCACGTTGTTATTGCTTGCAGCAACCATCAGGGGAGTTTTACGCAGCATATTATACTCGCATATACAGCTTGGGTCAGCTCCTTCAAGAAAAAAATGCATATATATACTGTCGTTTACATAAACAAAAACAGTAATACATGGACACAAAAACATTAGAGAGGTTCAGACTTGACATCACTTGGCGCTACCGCTATACCGTTAACCAATCAACTGCATTTAATCTACCTCATTAACCAGTCAGGGTAATTTCACCTATATTTGGCGGGAAAAGTAAATACAACTGAGGAGTCTTTAAGTTTCAATGAATAAATGGGTATCGCGAGGATAAAATTCCGATGTCATACGATAATTTAAACGAACCGTTCGGTCGAATCATATGGTAGAATACAACTCACATTGAATTTTAGCTGGTATAGCTGATCTTTTCAAAAGAATATAAAAATACTCAACTCCAATTTGAGTTTCCTCGACGAATTCTAACAAGAAGTCGTCTTGGCTAATTTATCATTAAAATTTTTAGGATGCATGGATCGTAATTTTGCAGCTATTGCGCTTGGCGGAGTAGTAAGATCATATTGGCAAAGTGCAAAATGTATTGACAGTTCAAAGTTACCTCAACATCAAAATGTTGTGGAAAAACTCATAAAGTTAGCGACATATACGCCCGTATTCTAAAAGCTCACTCAACTCAATGAGTGGAGGTTCAAGCTGAGCTTCTCTTGAGTGTCAATGCTGTTTTTGAATAGCTGGAGGATGAGTACCGTCACATAGTAAGGTATGACACTAGCCCTCCAGCTATTCAAAAACAGCAATTACACTCGAGAGAAGCTCAGAATCCTCAGATTCAGTGAACTTCCACTCATTGAGTGCGAGTGCACATGTGAGTGAGCTTTTAGAATACGGGCGATAATGTCTAATGACAAAAGAACAGTAGCAAAGCTAAAATACAATTTTTATTTACTTACTTTGCAGCGGAAATTATGGTCTGACCAGGCAAAATTTAACCCTTATAAAATTACCTATTTTTCGATACTTGTACAAAAAATACTCAACTCCGATTTTTTTAAATTGTGGAGATATAAACATACAATTATAATCTTAACCAGCTAGTCATAAAAAGAACGACTCATTATCTATATTTCTTTTAAAGTTCAAATTTATGGGCCAAACAAGCATTCATACCATGCATACACCAGTTACCACCTCGTCGATACCGTGTAAAAAGCGGATGAAAATTTCTTATTTAAAGAAAAAAACGGCAGTGTGCAAAATTCCACTCCTTGTCCCAATCTCGTACCCAGAGTATGCCCGTTCGCAGGTTAGGTGCTGGGCATGCCCAGCGAACGGGCATACTCTAGGTACGAAATTGCTCCTTGTCCGAGAGAAAGCACGCTCATGCCAGTCTTCTGCTGCATCACATGTCCGTCAGCGCGCAATAAGCCCATGCAGTCTATAACAGAAATTCGTTTCCTGTATATATATATATAAAATATATATACAAGAAATGAACTCCAATTTACATGTTATAGACTGTTCGCAGACCTTGAGCGCGTTTCACCGCCTATAACGAAGGCCGGATGGCCCGGATAGCGCTGTCCACCGGATAGTTCTTTTTTCGACTGTTATAAAAATGCTTGAAAACCTATAAAACTATGGAACCGACCGATATGGATACTACAATTAGTGAAAATCAACTTTAGGAAATCTTCAAAAAATCCATATTTATTCAGGCTACATCAGTAATAAATACACAACTCTAACTCGCACACACCAGCATGCACTCCTTAGACTTAACCTTAACTTTACCGTCCTATTCGTAAAATAAAATGCACACAAGTCACAGGTTTATCAGTACATTCTTCAGTTTTAATCTGTTTGCATTGCAGTACGTAATCATCTTTTGGTGGCAAAGACTTACGCCTGTATTCTAAAAGCTCACTCACACTCAAAGAGTGGAGGTTCAGTCTGAGCTTCCCTTGAGTGTCTGTGCTGTTTTTGAATAGCTGGAGGGTTAGTGTCGTACCTTACCATGTGACTACTCACTCTCCAGCTATTCAAAAACAACACTGACATGCAGTCATAGGACGCTCAGATTGAACCTCTACCCTTTGAGTGCAAGTGTGAGTGAGCTTTTAGAATACAGATTTGTATACCCAGATCTTCATTCGTTCACTGATGAAAATTTGGGCTTACGAATGGAACGTTTCGCGAAAAAGTTAACCTGGAATTTTCTACAAAACAAAAAACTGAAAAAGTGCAAAAGTTTCAAATGCATTACCTCTTGAAAGCAACATCTTGCATCCAGGTAGGTTCTGCGCAGAAACTGCCTCATATAACGGTGTAAATCCCATACAAACACTGTTCACATCCACACCACTTTCAATCAATAAACCAAGACACAACACACCAGAGTGGCGTGCAGCGAAGTAGATAGGTGGGCGTGTATCAAGTGAATGAAGTGATACATTATTTTCAATAAGTAACTTTGCACATTCATATTGATCATCATAGCAAGCTGCAGCCAATGCTGATCTCTTTGTATCAATGTTAACACCTAATGGGAAAGGTATGTAATCAGGGGCCAGTTGTATGTACTGTATATAGAGCCCAGGTCTTGAATATTTTATAAATAAAATAATTGTCCTTTTATAATATATACCGATGACACTTTCATTAATATCACGACTGTTGTGCGGCCTGTTGCAAACTATTTTCAAAGCTTAATTGTATGCATGGCACTTCAAAGGAAGGGACGTATTATTTGACAGCAACGAGAGCACAAATGCCAGCAGAGAAAGCGTTTGTCATTTGATCACATCGACAATACCATCTCTTTGCAATTTTTTCAATCAGAAAAGAAAGTTATCCAGGTATCATTGCCACACACGATTGTTTTGGTTGATTCGATTATTGTTAAGAATAATCGATTGCTAAAATAATATGTATTTATAACTAAACAAGCGAAGGAAACATGTATTGCAACATTAGCTCGCTTTGTCAATACGTTCGAAGTTGTCCACCTATCCATGTCTATTGCCATATACATGCAAAGCACTTCACTGAAACTACCAATACGGTGCATGGTAAGCCAAAACGAGAGAGTTGCTTAATTAAAGGCTCAACTACCGAATAGTTGAAGGATATTGTAGATGCAGGTTCGATTCCAGCCAGGAACCTAAAGTTGCATTTTCACAGCTGTTCCAGGTTAGGTCTAATAAATATATACAAATTTCCACTCGATAATATCCATGCATCTACAATACCCTTCAACGATTATTCAATCAAGTGAAATACCAGCAAAATCTTGATATTTACCTCAACTACCGAATAATCTACCCGCGGTAGGGATATTGCAGCCTATTGTCCACTTCAGCCATATCGCAACATACATCATAGTTTTTCCTTTGGCTTTGTGCATGTCCAAGTCATTATACTTGGCTTTAATATTCAGGAAACTAAGAAATATAGCTATACGTGTCAGTACGCCGAGGATGAAGTGGAAAACAGGTTTTGAGCAGTCGACGTTTTGACAACACAGACGTCACAAGAACGATTGTTGCCATATATTTATCGGCTCAGTTACAGTATGTCCACGCACGACTTAGTGTCCACGTTTCATCAAAATTAAAAGCTCTCTAAAGCTATATGTTACATTTGTGTGATTTGCTTTAAGGAAGGCAGTCACAAAACGTATTCATAATACATCTTATATGTTCGTATATTTATGCTGATGACATTTGGAGACAACTTGAAACGAACCGTTATTCGGTAGAGGGATAACCCAGCTTCTTTCATTATAAGCAATTAAGTTTTGCAACAGCTGAATAAATAGAACACAGGTTTATACCTACCCTGGTTCAGCAGGATTGCGACACAATCATAATACCCTTCTTGACATGCGATATCTAGTGGTGTGTCCAAACTATCAACCGCAATCTCTGCATCGGCACCATGGTTTAGCAACAGTTGCAAACAATTCTTCTCACCATATTGACATGATATATACACTGGGGTTGCACCCTCTTCATTTCTTACATCCAAATCACAAGTTGTTTCAAGAAATTTTTCCAGTATTGATGTTAGACCCTTGTGACAGGCTTCATGTAGAGGTGTCCAGAGATTTTCAAATAACTCGTCTTGATAACTGGGGTCAGATTCATAGTCAAGCAGAATCTGTTGAAATGGATAGAAAACTTCACAATCTGATTCCAGGCCTTTTTCGCATGGTTTAATTAAGTACACGTAGTTTTTTCCGAATTGCGTCAGAATACAATACTACACGGCTAAAAACGCACAGGTTGTTCCAAGTTGATATCGACAGGCGTGAACAATGTTGTGCGGCCAACTACTGTATGAACAAGTTGTCAACCATGTTGTTCCAAGTTGTTACAGTTGAACAATGCTGTAACAACATGTTGACAATAGTCAATACTGTTCATAGTGGGCCGCACAACCTTGTTCACGCCTGTTGATATCAACCTGGAACAAGTTGTCGATTTCCTCAATTTTTACGCGTGTAGTTAGACGTTTTAGAACACGTCTTTTTCGCTGTAACAAAAAATAGTCATATCGTGCTCAAAATGCAATTGCATAGTAATGCTATCCCAAAACTATCATGTGCTTCAAAACATAGTTAAAATACTTATCAAACCTTTATTTTGCTAGTCTAGATCTATAGAGCTTGAAATATCTCCCGTAACAATGCGTGACTGCCAACTCTCATCCTCATTGACCGGGGTTTTAAACATCATCGAAAATTGAGATACATGGAAAGAAAGGTTATATATATCATACAAGGTTAACAATAAACAGTAGGTATTGAAATTAGTGAAAATATATCGCGTAGATTTTAGAAATTAGTCTAATAACAACCCAATTCGGATAATGAACTGACCAAAACTACGCTAAAAGTGGCCTGAGACGAAGTTGTGAAGCTATCTTGGGAAACGTCTATTATATAATTCCATTTGGCCACAATGAGCCCAATAATAAGTTTACTCTATTTAAGGTTAGATGATTTACTTATCAGAAAGGAAGTGTTATATAGGGCTGGTTGTATGAAGGCCAGATAGTGATATCCATATGAAGGGCATATCGTAGTGCCGTTATCAAATTTTCCAAAACTGGCCGTTTTGTATAGCCATGGTTAAAGTTCATTATTCGTAGTTCAGGCATTTTCACAAAGGTTGCAAAAATCACTTTGTGGTGGATATATATCCTGCCGTTGTACAACTGGCTCATGGGCATCACTATAGGTTAACCAGACTATCTGTTTAAACTGAATTGTTTTTGTTAGTTAACCCATTTGACCACAATGCTCCCTAATCAGCCTTACTACTTGGTCATATTACTCTGTTGAACGTTGGGTGCAGCAATTAAATTTGCCAAGAGAAAACTGTTTCATTTTGGGATCAATAATTCAATTAGACAATCTGGATATTAAAACTCTGCATATTTTCACCTTGGTCACAGAAACGCCTCGGATATGGGCTTCATGGTATGTTGTAAAGTACATGATGGTGGTGATGATGGTGCATGGTGGTGATGATGATAATGGTGATAATGATTAAATTCGAACGTCATAAAATATTATAGAAAGTAAGATGTTAAAGATGCGACGCACTTTGTTTGCGCATAATAGCCTGCCTCCACATCTTCCAGCCTCCACAGTAAAAATAAATAATCAAGGTAGCATAACACAATCAGGCTTTGCAAAAACATAGTGAATACGCATGCGCAAAACGAACTGTCCGGAATATTTAAAAATAACTTACCTCAATGCATTCCTGATCAGCTTCAGAGGTGGCGTATAGTAGTGGGTTGGAGTATCCTTCAATAACTGGTTGTCCATCATTACTTAACAGTAACTTCAGCACCTCATATTGCTTGTTGAAAACAGCCACGTGAACTGGTGTCTCGTAGCTGTCATTCACATAATGAATATTATATCCCTCTTCAAGTAATGACAGAATCTTGTCGCAATCTCCTTCCAAAACAGCCTCATGAATTGGGTATGAATCATTTTCATTACTCTCGTGTTCTACAGAAGAACACATATTTCACAATCATTAACATAATTTTAAAGGTGCTTTCTTCACTTAATGTTTAATGAAATAAAACCTTACAAAGTGTACAGTGTCAGTATTCTGTAATTAATAACATTTGAAGAGAGTAACATTGTAGTTGTAAATACTTGTAATCACAGTCGAACCTCGGCTCAGGAACACTAACGCAGCATGAGCCAATTACGTTAGTGACGTGTTGAAGAACAAATACAAAACACGATAAAACACAGTAGAAACATGAATCAAGATTGCAACACAGTCCATCTTATCTGAAGTGGCGAGCGCACTTGGGTTCGTACTTCGTACCAAAGTTTAAATACTTAATAATGATTATGATATGTGAGAATATATAGAGTACTAGGTAGAACTAATCTGAAACTGCGCTCTTCATGAGATAAAGTAATTATATTACAATTAGCTTTTCTCACAAAGGTCAAAATCCGCCATTTTTGGGCACTATTTTATAAACAACGTCAAAAATCTAAGCGATGTGAAAATAATTTTTCAAATATTTAACTGTAAATCGATTTATAATGATTATACTTACAACGATAAAGTTATAAAAAATTAATTTTCACTGCATGCTTACTATCCCTGTTCTAAAAAGGTTGCCACCCAAAAATGGCGGCGTGAGAAAAGCTAATTGCATATTAACAATAGTCTGTGCTAAAAGCAACATTTCTTTAAGTTTGTAAGCTGTCTTATGTTTGTTTCTTTATGTTTGTAAGCTGTTTTATGGCACATCAGACAAACTGATTTCCATGCCTGCGGACTGTCCTGACTCCTGGTCAACCGTCAAACATGGTCAGTGTTTTGAAGCTCGGAAATGATATGTCCGGTTCCCGCAGCTCATCAGGGATTCATACTCGCGAAACACATATCATGCATATATAGGTGTTTTGGTGGCATAGTGTTCGATCTAGATCTAACTTTAGGAATGTTGTATGTCAGTGATAAGAGAGTTAGTTGAGCGTAGATTTATGGTTGAATTACGACTGTCAACTTGTTCAGACAGGATATGATCAGTTTTAATCAAGCCATTTGTGCATTTAAACTAGGAAGTGATTCGAATGTCAAGATATTCGTTAAGTACCAGTAGCAGAAGGGTAGCATCTTTAGAATAGCGAGTCTCGTTTTGTAGGATATTGCAAAAGAGAACAAGATGCTTGGACTTCTGAAAAGAACTTGTCTCCTCTTGACTAACACTGACAACTGTGAGGCGGACGCAGTACTTGACGCTTGTTAGGTCTCAGCTAAGCTATGCTACTGAGGGCTGGTCTCCACTGACTACCACCAAACTAATATCTAAGGTGGAAAGTGTCCAGAGAAAAGCTACTGCTTGGTACTGAAATCGAAGCGAGGAGAGATTACCTATAAACAGCGATTAACAACCCACAACTTACTTCCCCTGTGTTATGAAAGAGAAATACCAGATTTGGTGTTCTTCTGAAAGGCACTTTATGGAAATATCGATCTCGATGTGCGTACCTTCGTTTCGTTTGTGAACAATGGTCGGACAATAAAGGCTCAGCCAAAATCCTACGCTCACTCTCAAAACTTCATACTGCAAATCAAGTACTTTCCAAGCATCCTATTTCAACCGCATTGTTAAATTATGGAACTACGCCTGTAGAATACTTCCTCCAACCAGCTTCGCCAGCCTCTCCTCTTTTAAAGGCAAAATTTGACATAGAAATGTCATGCACGTGGACATTGGTGCCTGACTGCTCTTGCCACAAATTCTAATTTTATTTTAAATACTGTACTGTTATATGTTGTACCTTGACAACCTTGCATGGGCCTTTGTGTCTCGATCGTTCGTGCTTTAATTTAGCCGTTTAATTGGGTCTTCTACAAATTGTGCTTATGAGTTATGTTGTTATATAGTTGAGGTTCTGTTTGTCAGTTATTATTTTGTTCTTGTGAGTGTTTGTCATATCGTGTTTAGACTTTTAATAGTAGATTTGTAGAATACTCAATAAAATCACGAAAATTTAAAAAAAAAACTTGCTGGTGGATGTATATGCATGCAGTCTTCAGGTTGGAATGAGAGATGGTTTACACAAGAATTGTACATGTATAGGCGTTAGGCACAGATTAAGAGGACCTCTTAATGTGTGCTTTAGGGGAGGGGCTAAGAAGCAAATCTTCCAAGAGCACAGTGCATCAACAACCTTAAAATTTTAATTTAATAGCTTGAAATGCACTAAATAGCATTCTAAAGTCTAAAGACCACTGAAATTACAAATTTTCATATAGGATTATGCCAAGGAACCTTTGTGACTAAGTGAGTTTTATATAATACCTTATTGAATTCTGATCGTTTAATTGGCTGTTTATGGTCACGTGATATTGAATAGAAAATTCCATTTCCCAAGAGTGCAATGGAATACGTTCCATTGCACTCTTGCGAGTGCAATTGTTCTATACGTTTTATTCCATTGCACTCTTTGTGTTTTCGATAAGTGGGGGGCGGGACCATATATTCGTGTTCACAGACCTTAAAGGTGATCTACAGTCTGTATGTAAACAAAGCCTTTGTTTACATTTTTGTGTTCAAAATATTGAGCTTTATTCGACAACTATTTATATTTCCAAGCTTCTAGAGTATAATAAATGATCAAGAAACAACAATCAGGCTTTTCAAGAACTCAAAACATAGTTAAACTGTTTGTATCATAAAAAGTGGGCTCATTTGTGCACATGCGCAGATCGGACTGTAGATCACCTTTAAAAACAATCGATTTCAAAAGAAATTAATAATGCAGAACACGAATATATGAATATGGTCCCCCTCACTTATCGATCTTTCGACGCCTATGCCCACAATCATTAAGGCTAGGTTATACACATGCAATTTTTTTCTCACGTCGGCAATGCAACAGGTCAAATTTGCATGATTGTGTTGTGGGCGCAAAAGAAGAAATCACATGTGCAGTGATCGAAAATGACTTAACTTTCGTTACAATAAGTGATTGCATCCAGTCAGGCAGCCAATGAAAATTGCTTTACTTGACAAGTGACAAGCTAGTGAAAATTATATTTGGGGTGGTTAATCCAGTCTCGTGGACTATAGTCCAAAATATAGCAAAAGATATGTCTGCAAGTTTACACAATAATATTGATATATGGAGAAATCAGTTCATATTGCTATTTAAAACGTTACAAATTCATACAATCTAGATGCATAATAGGATACTGTATTTAGGTACAGCATAGTATTTTTGTTTCTATTGATCAGACCACACTTCACAGTGATCAATCTTTTAATCTTGTGTCTAATTAAATTAAGAGCACTAAGGGACCGGTCATTAATTACAGGGGAGGGGGCTGGTGGAAAAAGAGGGGGTCAGGTATTTTTGTGCATGAAAAAAGGGGGGCCAAAAAATTTTGTGCAATATAAATACCTGCCCCGCATTACCCTGTTGTACCATAAAACCTACAGATAAAAATGCCAATTCCAACGATCTAGAGACTCCATATTTTCAAATTGTTCCGCTCGGCGCCAACTATGGTGGCGCCTTGTGGGCCCCCCAGCAAAATCTCATGGATATTTTTTCCCAATGTTGGCAACTATGATAGGGCAGTATGATTAATTGTGGCTTAATTCACTTTGTAAGAACTTTAAATTACAAATGTGCCCTTTTGTTATTTGCATGTGTGTGTGTGTGTGTGTGTGTGTGTGTGTGTGTGTGTGTGTGTGTGTGTGTGGGGGTGGGGTCAAATATAATTGTGTTATCCTCAGGGGGCAGCAAAATTTTGGGATCTAATTTTTCATTTCCACCAGCCCCCCCCCCCTTCCCCTGTAATTAATAACCAGTCCCTAAATGTTGTACGTGTAGAAATCATTAATTCAGCCTCGATTAGGAAAATTCTGGCTTTGCACTACCAGACAAGAAAATCATTGCCATTAAATTTGATCTGTTGTTTTGCCTGTGTGAGAAAAAAATTGTAACCCTAGCTCTATAGACAAAAGATATTGAAGGAACTAGGTCTAGATCTGAGTTCCAAAATATCACTTAATAATTTGAATTGACTTGACCTCATAAATGGGCTTGCAAACTAATGATAAATGGTTGTGGGTTTGATTCACACTCAGTGGTCAACAATCAACTTGCTAGGGCCTTGGAGTAGTGATAAAATTATCTATGTCATGCTAGGTCAAGGTCCAACCCAAGGCCGGATTTTGTTGGAAATAGTGGGGGAGGTGGAAAAAATTTAGGGGAGGTGGAAAAAATTTAGGGGAGGTGGAAAAAATTTAGGGGAGGTGGAAAAAATTTAGGGGAGGTGCAGCAGTCTAGCTCACGACCCCCATGGTCCATGCCATATATGGAAAGTCTGGAAAGTTAGGATTTAATAGAAGGGGGCAAAGTCAACGACCTGACGTATACATGCATACATGTAGTATTACATACATGTATCAGTGTATTAATTCCAGGGCATTTTTTAACTATATAACTACTGGGGCATTTACCCCAGTAGGCCCTTTGTTTGCCCCAGCAGTGAAACAAGATTCTCAGATGAACTGGGCCCTTTTAATCATTAGTAAAAAGTCAACATTGTTGAAAAAGCAGCATCTGCCTGCTTTCTCATATCCTCTCACATTCTCGACATTCCATCTTATAAAAGTCAGAAGACTCAGAACAGTCAAGGGTGGTGCTAAACAGGTGGGTGGTGGATGGGTGGGGGTGTTGGAACACCCCCAGTCGTCAGGTAGTCAGCAAATTATCTAATCCCAGTTGGATAGGAAGGAAAGAAGCTAAAATGTTTTGAGTGACACTGATTAAAAACTATTATTTATTACAAATTTCACCATTAAAGCTTTGTTTTGAGCACAGGTGCGCACCTCCCCACAAAATCCAGCCATGGTACAACCTCCTCTGCTAGCTGAGGTATCTGCACCTGGACTAGGTTAAGGTCATAAACAACTTTTCCCAGCTTTCAGCATGATCTCTTCCCAAAATTAGGTTACATGTATGTCTTAATTAATATTTGTCAAAAAGCGCTCAAATTAAGACATATTTGTCATAATTTGAACCCTCAGTACAGCGTATATGGCGGTATATATGAGTCATATGAGTCAAATACGCAACGTCACGTCACACAAATGTATCGTCATGAACAGCACTTACCATTTATAGATGAGGACATAATTGAACTCTTGTTTAGTTGTTTTAATCACCGTGTTTTAATTAACTTGTTTTTACTTTAATTTATTTTCTAGAGATTTTTACTCCCGAGCCTTCGCGAGCCTGCAATGCGAGTACCGCTGACCATATGCGCTAACAAAATTTTGATGTAGACAAGTCTAGACCCTGAACATTTCATCACAGCTTGAAAGAGCATATAATATTCCGTAAGTTTCGAAATGTTGTAAAATGCGGACAATGCGGATAATATAGCACTGCGAAGTTTGCCGTTTTACAGTCATTTTGTATTACGCACGGGAATTATTGATACCGCTTTCTGAAAAAAGTCAAAAAGGTATCAATTTCCCGTGCGTTAATTAATGCCAGAACCTCTGGCAACCAGGGTATGATATGGGGGGGGGGAGGGGAGGGGGGGCATTCATGAACCATTAAAAATTTGATGTATGCTATGATGCATATTATCATGCAGGCAAGGCATATTTTAAAGATTTACAAGTAGGGAGCCATAACTTGCATGTCTAACTTGGAAAACGGCCCATTGAGCGAGCACCGAAGGCACGAGTTTTGTCTTTGTACGGGGGTACGGGAGCATCCTCCCCCTGAGAATTTTGAAATCTGGAGACTCCAAAATTGCTAGCTATTTAGTACATTTTTGGGGCATTTTAATTAATTCTGAATACTATAAGAAATTAATGTTTAATTTTAACGCTTTTATACTCACAATGTGCTTGTCTAAGTCTTTCATTAAAACTCAAACTGCTACTGTATAAACGTTAAAGTTTACAAACATCCAGACGAATCCTTAAAGAATTTCTTCATATACTCTCATTAACTATGATAAAATACAGACAAAGACTTACATTTCATGACTTCACACAAAAAATGTGTTAAAAGGGTCCAAGGCACCCAAGGAGTGGGGGACCAATTTTGAGTGGCCTGCCCCCCCCCAGCTGTATATATGTTAAAATATGCCTTGCATACAGGCGTATTTTCTTAAAACCGACCATCACCTTACCCTTACCCTAACGAGGGACATGGGTCATGTAATCCGACTGAAATTTCAACCCATTTTTGAGGGGGGCGTTTTGAATGAAAAAACAATCAGTTTTATTTTTTCAAACGGTCTGGCCTTCGTGTGCTATTAACTTCCTGACGAAGGGCCTGTTGGCTTTATTTTTGCATAGTCTGTCAATTACATATCATGGTCTGATATGGTGACAAAGGCCTTTAATTGTGACCTTTGTGTGATTTTGAACTGTACGTCACCGTGCGCAAATCCTTTGTCTCAAGTCTCAACCAGTGAACTGATCTCAACCCCCTCAACTTCATGCACGTTTCATCTCAGCTATCCTTATTGGACGATTACTTCATTATAAGTTGAACAACCCGTGACCGTTACCATGGCCATTTCTGTTTAGTTTCCAGACCATCATATCTTGATAGACTATGATTTTTGTCTCTACTATTTTCAAATAATAGACAAAAGAAACATTTTAAATTATTCAAAGAAGCGGAATAGCCTTGATCGTTTTTTTTTTTGCCATGTCATATCGAAGGGAGTTACCCAGTTATTCCAATTGCGGGATGAATATGGGGCTTTCCCAGTGGGCTTTCCCAATTGCTTTTCGATCCCACACAGTCTAATTTATGCAAACTCGCCAAAAATATTAACGTCGCAGTGACTCAGTGAGAGCGGTGAGAGTGAAACCACCGAAGAACGAGCGACATCGCCATCGCTTGATCGTGCTACTTTTTAGGTAATGTGTGTCGAGATGTATATCGTAATGTAGGTAAAAAGAACACATTTTACACTAAAATTTAAAGGAAGATAAACACAGGTAAGAAATATTAAGGATTCGACGTTTATGTAGACAATTTAGACAAGTATCGAATGTTGAAATGTTTGGGGAAATACCTCAAGAATACCGAGAATTTGTCTGTTTTTAATACTGGCCACATGACATTGATAATTTGTGTGGTGTATTTGGCAGCATACATTGTGATTGAAAATAATGGACAAATTCCATAAAATTGCTGGGTAGGCTGAACTTAACATGTCACTGATCGATGTCGGTTAAAAGAGGAAATATATATTTTGTGGTATATCAGTAATATCACTTGTTTATTTTCAACAGAATTGTTAAATTGGAAAAATCGTATGTATCGATACGTGTACTTGAATATGTATAACATTATTAAAAAACATTACAAAGTATTAAAAAGATTTATAAAGATCTTAGTAAAATTTTCTCACAAGTAAAATCTATGGATAACCACTGTGACGTATGCACGACATTCAGCACAAGTCGCCCAGGCTCTGTGTGGGTATTTATTTATTTTTAATTTTATTATATTTTGCATTAAATATGACTTTAAATTATGAAGTATAACTTACTTAGTTTCCTTTATGTAGTGGTTTTAGTTTCATATAAATATGATATAAAAACATCATGAGAATGCGATATAATCAGTGGTGTCAAGTAACGAAGTAAATGTACTTTGTTAATGTACTTGAGCACAATTTTTGAGAAGTCAGCATGTAACAAAGTAAACTTTGTCTGCAGTACTTTTACTTGGAACGAAGTTATTTTAAGAAGTAACGTTTTACTTCGTTATTTTCATTTTGTGGCGAAGTATTTCGTTACTTTCTAACTTTTGTTTAATTTTAAGTGATAATATTTCTGATTTATTTTAATTAATTTTTGGATTGGTAATACGACCTCTACATGCGTCTGGGATCTCTCATTAGTAGCTTACTTATAAGCATTATTTATTTAATGGATTTCTTATATCTTC